AGCTTCAGCTCCTGTGACTAAAAGAAAAAACAGAGCAGCATTTAATAAGAGGTTTTCAGACTTTAATGAAGATGTGAGTGCTTGGGGTCTACTCAGCAGCATGCCAATTTTCCTTAATATAACCTCCCTTCAGATTTTGTGTCAAGATAAAGGGATCTTTCCCTTGAATACTTATTTTCTTGCAACACTGAAGTTCATATCTTTATCGGAACTATCTTTTCAAAACTACAAGTGACAGAATTTAGACTTAGTTCAGCTGTGTCATCAACTTCCAGTTGGACAAATATTTAATTCACTGCTGCTATTTTTAAATAATGCTGCTGAAAAAATTGAGTAATAGGATGCTGAGCAGAGTGCTTGGGTTTTTTTAAATAACATTTTTCAAGTGGTATCATTAGAAAGAGAATAATCCCTATAAGGTATCACATGTAAACTCTTTTTTTTTTCCAACTTTCAGAAAATTCATGAAAGCCATTGTTCAGAAAATGAGTGTATACATAATACTCTGCTTATGAATATAAACCAAAAAACCACTGAACGAATGCTGTGTCCCAGGACAGTTTCTGCATTTCCCTGTGATTTTATGCAGCTTCAAAAAATGTGTAAAAACAGGAAACGTGTGTTTCTTAACTTATGGGAAAGATGTCTTAACTTTCATCTTGATATACAAACGACAATTTTTAGGGTGAAAAAACTATCCCCTGGAACAACCTCCCCATGAAGGAGGCAGAGTCCCCATCACTGGAGGTTTTAAAGATGGGATGGGATGGTGGAATAGATAAACTCCTTTTCCCTTGAAACTCTGAACACAATGTTCTTTCAAGGTCCATCCCAAACATCCAACCTGGGCTGTTTTAGGTTCCCAGGAATTACGACAGCCAATTTCACCTGCTCCCCTCTTTCACCACAGCCACCTGCAGAGTAAAAGGCATATGAGTCCCTAAGTCTTAATTACTCCTTAGGTCTTAATTACAGCCTTCAAAAAACTAAGAAACACATGACAACGAGAAAGAAAAAAGAACCAGCTGAACTTTTTGTCTGCATTTTGGCCATTTCTTGTGGCTTTCTTAAAGATATAAATAAATGAGGAAGTATCTCTCCCTTCAGGTGCAAGGGATATGTGTAAGACCTCTGTTCATAATTTTTAAATTAAAACCAGCAACAAATTCTTCATTTTACAGAGGAGGTGTGCTCAGAACTTTAGATGACTGTCTCAGTCTCTACTTCTGGTCATGTACTGGTTATAAATAATGGCACTGATGGATCAACTGAGCTCAGCAGTTTTTTGGTTTTTTGGTTTTTTGGGGTTTTTTTTTGTTTTTTTTGTTTTTTTGTTGGGTTTTTTTTTCTGCCTGATATCCCAAGGAAATAGCAATGTCTGTAATGACAGAGAAAATACAAAGGGAAACAAAGCCAGACTAAAATAAGAAAGTTGGGAAAAGTGAGCACTTAATATGTTTTGAAAGGGTGAAATATACAAAGTAATGAAATTAAGATTCTTGTAAATTCGTACCTGGCATTGTCCATCCTTTCTGTCAGTGTTGCTCAGAATTGTGTTTTTTTTCTCTGAATGTCACAATACTTTGCAAAAAGAAAACTAAAGCCCAGGCTGACATCATAATGTAGGCCCTATCATCAGTTATGCTGCATCTGGGCACAACTGATCTTAGGATCTGACTCTGTGGGGAAAACAATCCTATCTCCAGCCCCATGTTTAGAACTTACCAAGGAAAGGAGTAAAATAATGCAACAGAAACTCCCTGAGGAACAGGAGGGGTCCTCCTTCCCTGCTTTAAGGCATAGCTCAATTCACAGCCTGGCTACCTAAATTACAGGCTCATTCCTAGCAAAGTCAACAAGGGGAAAACATGGCAGCCATCTATCTGTGAAATGTAAAATACTAATGGAAAGTACATGAGGCTTTTTTACATAGACTACACATCATTAACCTACTCTCCTCCATATTAGTTTATCATGCTAAACTCAGCTGCTGCCTTTACTCAAATGTTTTTATTTGCTGTCGCTTGCTTGAAAGAGGGGTAAAATACCAGGTTATCTAATCACCATGGAAAAAAGCTGCTTTTAAGGAAATCAAAGTTCTGAAGCCTGCCCTTATAATTCATATGATACAGAAGGCATTATAATTACAATACCTCATTCCTTTGACAAAGATTATAGTAAGGACAAAAAATGCCCACAGATTAATCCATCATTCTGACATCATTTTTAATGAGTGGGAAACCTTTGCAATTCAAAACCTGTAATATCATGGACTACTTTGAACTACTTAGATCTGACATTCCTGCCCAGGAGCTTGCCACTCATCAGACTTTAATACATATTGCACAACACCCTGCACAGATTAGAAATTAGATACGTATAATTTTTATTGTATTTTAGAGTGACAACAAGAGGATTTTCCATCCTCATTGCATCTGAAATATCTTTCATTTGAAGAAAAGCTTAATGTCCCAATGTCCCTTAGTGGGCACATGAATTCAGAGGTAACAGGTTCATTTCATACCTGTCTGTGCCTATCAGCATCAACACCTTCAAAAAAAGATTGTGCTGCGCTATTGCATGACTTTGAATCTTTTTTTCAACTATAAAAACACACCATGAAGACCAGGACTGATAAACTGTTGTGAAGAAATAGTTAATTCAGAGAAAACAAAACCAGATACAATTACCCGGGGTATCTGATGGGACAGGAAGAGAAAACAGATTTGAACAGCTACTTCTGTTTTTTCTTCTATGCCCTGTAGAGTGATCTTGGGAAGGTTATTTCATGTACATGGGCTTCAGTTTTGCTTGGAGATAAAGATATGACAGATTCTTAATAGATCACGTCCTCATGGAAGCACTGCATCGTAGCTGTGCTGTTGTTTCAATATCAGGTGCTGGTTAAAGAAGAGTTGCTATATTTTTTCAAGTATGTGTCAGTCATCTTCCTTCTCACTTGAATTACTGGTAAGAGTCTGGAAGGATTACAGGAAAGCAGCCTAATGGAATGTTTAAATGAAAGATGACTGTATGAGGGATCTATCTCAAAACTCACTTTTCTTTTAAACAGCTGTATTTCTTTATGGTGAAAACAGAAAGTACCTTGGACTTGACTAGCATAAGAGATCTGATAGACAGGATCCCTTGTCAGAGCCTTGAAGATACCAAGATTGAATCGAGCCTGGAAACAAGGAGAAGACTGAAACGATGTTGAAATACACATGTATGTCTGTATGTTTGTATGATGTTTAACCCAAACACTGTAGTTAAAAATTACTAGCTTTCCTAGAATGGTATACAAGCTTATGTAGCCCACAGTAAAATCGGATTCTGATCACCAAGTCAGTTGTCCCCATCTCTCTTCATCACCGATATTCCTTGTGAATTTGAGGAATTCAGAAGTCATTTCTGGATTGGGGGAGTACTTTGAACTCCTTTCTGAGCTTCCAAATGCATTGGAACTCTCAGATTTTTTTAAAAAAATATTTTCATTTATATTTAAGTTTCACTAGCACAAAATGAGAAAAAGGAGTAACAATCTGGTTTACAACTTAAAAGTAGCACAAATATTCACTTGTGCCTGGATGACTTCTGCTTTTGCCACAAGTACAAAAGCTGCGGTCTCCCTACCACTGGCTGAAGAGCTGGAGCCACAGTGTTAGGGATTGGTATTGAGATTCAGGAGATTCAGGATGTGGCCTTTGAGGAAATTCAGCATTATTTTCACTCAAAATCAGATACAGTTTGGGGGTTCGGACAGTACAGCCTATAGTAGGAGTTACCTCAGTAATAAAACCCAAAAACTCAATGTGCCCCAGCCATGTGCGCTGGGACCCCAAATCCCCCTGCCCTGGGCTGAGCCCAGTGTGGGCAGCAGGGGAGGGGGAATTCTGCCCCTCTGGCCCTCAGGTGAGACCCCACCTGCAGAGCTGCCCCAGCCTGGGCCCAGCACAACAAGGAGCTGGAGCTGCTGCAGAGAGTCCAGAGGAGGCTCCAGGATGAGCAGAGGGATGGAGCAGCTCTGCTGGGAGGAAAGGCTGCCACAGCTGGGATGGTTCAGCCTGGAGAGGAGAAGCTTTGGGCTGAGCTCAGGGTGGCCTTGCAGGGCCTGAAGAAGTTGCAGGAAAGATGGAGAGAGACAACTGACAAGGGATGGAGGGACAGGACACAGGGAATGGCTCCCAGTGCCAGAGGGCAGGGATAGATGGGATATTGGGCAGGAATTGTTCCCTGGCAGGGTGGGCAGGCCCTGGCACAGGGTGCCCAGAGCAGCTGGGGCTGCCCCTGGATCCCTGGCAGTGCCCAAGGCCAGGTTGGACACTGGGTCTTGGAGCAGTCTGGTATAGTGGAAAGCATCCCTTTGCTGGAATTCCATTCCATAGTTGGAGTGAGATGATTTTTAATGTCTTTTCCAACACAAACAATTCTATGATTCCAGAATAAAGAGTAAAATAGCACAGATTTCTTATTCCCTAGTTACAGATGCTAAATGCAAAAACTAAGCAGGGGACAGAGCCTGTGTGAAACTAAGTCACACAGACTTCTCAGTCTGGCATGAGAAAGAATCTGAACAACTTTGGTAAAGGACAACAATCTTAGCAGGTGTTGTTTAGGAAACAGTCAAGGTGTTGCCCTGAAAAATAAGCCTTCTGATTTTGTTTTTCATAGTTTTAGACACTTTCCCAGGAAAGTAACTATAAACATGATTTTTATGTATTCCTTCTAAGAAACATCTTTTGATAGACATTTCGCATGACCAGTGTGATTGGGAAGGTGGTAACTTAATTATCCAATCCCTGGTCATTGTCAAGAATCTATAAATACTGGAGTCAGGAAAATAAAAGTTCTTTTTCCTATCATCCACTGAGATGTGCTTGTGTGAATCATTCCGTGTCCTTTAGTGACATCTGGTGGCCACAACGTGATTTGCAGGTAACAATGCAGTGTAGTTGGTAAGGGTTTTTTTCTTTGACGTGGCCTCTCTCAGGTCCTCGCCGATGGATGCCTTGGTGTTGGAGTTTTGGCAGGGCTTACTGGATAGGAGGCATATCAACATTTCAGAGTGTGCTTTCCAGCGATTGTATTCTTATGGCAAGCGTGAGGGGTTTTTCCCTATGGTTGAGAAAGCTTTTTCGAAGCAGGCTTGGGATTCCTTAGGGGATTCCCTGATTCCTGCAAGGTGCTCCGTGGACCTGGCGGATCTCCTGGTGACCTGGAGGCTTTGCGACCGAGCTCTGGGGAGCTATGGGTCCTCTTCTGTTGACTCCGTGGGAGATTTCTCGGAGTTGGGCAAAGTGGATGGGATGACTTCCAGCTCTGGAAGTGGGGCGGACTTCTCCCTCCCCACGATGCCGCTGCGCTGGGGGAAGGCAGTGTCTCCGACTGGGAGGTCGGATCCTCCGGGGTGGCTCCGGCCCTCAGCGGGGCAGTCCCTCCTGACCAGTGGGTGGGGGAGGGCCAGTGGGCTCTCCGGAGTCCCATGGAGCTGGTGGGCGTAGCGCCGCCTCGCCCGGCGCCCAGGAGGCAGGAACGTGAGGCGGAGTCACCTTCCCTGTGTGTTTTCCCAGCAATGGAAGGCAGGGAGCCACTGGGGCGTGGCCCCGCGCTGCTCCTGGACGCAGGCTCGGTGACGATTCCGTGTCCCCATTGCGGGGGCGCTGTGCGGAGGCAGGCGGGGGCAGTCCTGGAGGACGGAGGTTTGATCGATTTCCTCTCGGACCCTGTCCCAGGGGGCGGGGTGCCCGTGCCGCTCCGCGCGGAGTGGCCGGTGCTGACCCTTGGGTTTCATGCCAGCAGTGCGACCCTGCTGGGGGTGGTACCAGACACCTCCCCTCCGGCGCCAGCTTCGCTGAGCGTGGGGAGGGGGGCCGGTGCAGCGCGGAGGCTGGACTGGATTCTGCTGGTGCTGCGCTGCGGTGCTCCCCCTCCGCGAGCCCGGGGGCAGCCCTTGGTAGCGGGGTGGGGCGGTGGCCCTCCCTGCGCCCCGTCCCCCCCTGCGCTGGCGGATGGGCCAGTGTTCTGCCTAGGGTTCCCACGCGCCGCCGGGACCCAGGGCTGGGGCGGGGGTGCCGCTGCTGCCTCCCGTGGCTGCGTCGGCCGTGGCAGATACGGGCCTGGCGTTGTTTACCCTTGGCGCAGGTGAAGACGTGGCCGTCAAGAAGCCAATGACCCCCAGGGGCAAGAGGCCCTGGGCTGGTGGGGCTTCTTCGGCTGGTCTGTGGACTTTACATCCCTGTCAGAGGACGTTGAGGACGAGGAATCATACATGATTTTGGGGCGCTGTGAAAGCCAAGGTTGATGAAGTAGCTGGTTGTGATTCCGAGAGTAGCTCCCTGGAGGGAGGAGATGAATGCTATGACACTGCTGGTGCTGCGGGGACCGTGGTGCAAAGTGCTGTTGCGGTGGCTCCTTGCCAGGTGTCTGCCCCTGTCTCTGGGGGTCCGTGGGGCACGGCCGTTCTTCCGGATGGTTCTCAGGCATTCCTTGTGATTCAGGGTGCAATTCAAAGAACCCATCAGCCATTGTCATGGAAGGCCCTCACAAATCTCTGGGAGACGGCTGAGAAACCTGGGCTAGGGTCCCATCAAGTCATGCAAGCACTGTGAGTTCTTGTTGGTGATGTACTGTTTCCCTATGACATTCGGAGTCTGGCTTGTGTTCTTTTTCAGCCAGTTGAATATGATGGTTTTAAATCACAATGGGCTCAGTTGGCCTGCTGAGTAGTACAGCAGAATACTGCATTGGATCAGCAAGATCAGAGGCGTGCAGTTGGATCTGATGCTCTGCTGGGCATGACTGTCTTTGCTGACATTAATAGGCAGGTTGGCCTTGATCCTCTTGTGCTTGGTCAATGCAAGGACATGGGCCTGGCGGCATTAGTGCAGACCACAGAAATGGCCACCCCAAAGGAGCCTTTTTGCAATTGTTGTCCAGGGGGCTGAGGAATCTTTTCTGAGATTTGCAGACAGCCTGGCCGCTCCTGTAGAACAGCAGGACAGCTCTTGCTCAAACACCTCGCAAGGAGTTACTGTAATGCTGAATGTTGGAAGATCATTGGGATGCTCCTTGGTGATCCCTAGCTAGCGCAAATGGCACAGGCTTGTGCAAAGGTTGGTATTGCTGATGGTAAGATGGCTGCCGTGGCCAGGATGGGGCTGCAGGGTGGGTGACAAAAGCAGGGAAATGCTCAGGCCAGCAAAGAGCAGAAAAAGAAAGTACAAGGGGTGACAGCTCCCTTGTTTTTTTGTGCTCGGTGTGGAAGACCAAATCATGCAGCTAATGTGTGCAAGGCAAAGGTTCATGCCAATGGCCAGCCTTTGTTGGGCTAGAGAAATGGGCAGCTGAGTGCACCAGGGAGATGTGCTCAGACACAAGCCTCTCTTCATGCCTTGGAGCCAATGGAGGTCTGCTTGGCCATCTCGTAGCCAGCACTTGCAGCTCAGCAGGCCTTGATGTCCACATGGCAGACATGGTTGTTCTAGACTCTTGCAGAATGTTCCAGGTTCCTTTGGATGCCTTTGGTCCCGTGGGTGAGCACATGAGTTCTCTTCTTGAAGGGAGGTCTACTACCACTGCCCAGGGCATCATTGTGCACCTGGGAGTCATTGATTTAGATTTCACGGGACGAATTTATACCATGGTTTCCACACTCACCCCCCCGCCGTCACTATCCCTGCAGGAACCTGAGTTGCTCAACTTGTGCCTTTTAATTCTTGTGTTCACAGAGCTGAGAACCGGCTGCGGAGAGATAGCGGCTTCGGGTCCACTGGGCTGCCTCAGGTTCACTGGACCGCTGTCCTGACAGACAAGGATCGTCTTGAGTCAGTGTGCACCCTGTCCATCCCTGGTGATACGCCGCTTGACGTTGACCTCCGCAGCGTGGACATCACAATTGTCAGGCTTGCCGACTGGTTCCCAGAGTGGCCTTTGGAACTGGTGCAGACATCTGTTGCGGGGTTGGCAGGAGCAGCACAATGCTATGTGAGCCGGAGGCCTATGTTCATCGTGAACCCAGAGGGAGACATGGCCATGGTTTGGCTGTACATTACAAATGGCTCTTGAATAAATTTCTAGGGGAGGGATGTTCTGGCTGCATGGGGAGTGCACATCAGGACAAATTTTTGATGGGGGCCATGGTGCTAGAAGGCGTGGACTGTCCTATGCCTCCTATATGGTGGCTGGTGGACAAACCCTTTTGGGAAAACCAGTGGCCCCTCCCTCAAGATAAATTAGTCACCCTCCATGATTTAGTGCAAGAACAGTTGGACCAGGGTCATCTGGAGCCTTCTACCAGTCCCTGTAACACTCCTGTTTTCTGCATCAAGAAAAAGTCTGGGAAATGGAGGTTGCTACAAGACCTCCAGAAAGTTAATGCTGTGATGGAAAGCATGGGGATGTTGCAGGTTGGCATGGCATCACGCACCATGCTTCCTGCTGATTGGCTAGTCGTCATTGTGGATCTGAAGGATTGTTTCTTTACAATTCCTTTGCATCCCGATGACAGACTGAAATTTGCCTTCTTGGTGCCAGCTGTCAATAATTCTGAGCCCACACATAGATATCAGTGGAGGGTTTTGCCACAAGGCATGCGGAATTCGCCAGCCATTTGCCAATGGTATGTGACTTGAGCCCTGTATGGAGTTTGCAAGCAGTTTCCTGATGCTCATCTCTATCATTATATGGATAACATATTGGTGGCTGCATCCACCCAGGATGAATTGCTGAGGATACAGTCTCAACTGATCAATGTTTTGCACTCTCACAGGCTGCAAGTGGCTCCAGAAAAGGTTCAGCAACAACCTTCTTGGAAATATTTGGGGGTCAAAATTTTGGAACAGACAGTCCAACACCAGGAGGTGCAATTTGTGCATTCAGTGAGGACACTGAATGATGTCCAGAAATTGGTGGGTGTCGTGACTTGGTTGTGTCCCTATTTGGGATTGACCATGACACAGCTGTCATCCTTGTTTGATCTGTTAAAAGGCTCTGATTTAAAGTCACCTGGGACACTGACCCCAGAGACACAGCAGGTGCTGGAGGAGATTCAGTGGGCAGTTTCTGCTCATCAGGCCTATCGCATTGATCCTTCCATTGATGTCACTGTTTTCATTACCACTCCAGATTTTCATCCCACAGGTGTCATTGACCAATGGAATGATGAATGGTCTGGTCCCTTGTATGTCATGGAATGGGTCTTCCTGCCCTGTCAGCCACAGAAGACGGCAACTACATTGTTTGAGCTGATAGCTTGCTTGATAATCAAATGCCAGCAATGGTTTTTGCAATTGATGGGTGGAGATCCCGCAAAGATTGTGCTCCCGGTACCATGGGAGGACTCTGACTGGAGCTTTTCAAAGAGTATTACCATGCAGAATGCTCTGGAAAACTTTCCTGGGTAGATCACCTATCATCTTCCCAGCCACCAGCTATTGCAAGTGGCAAAATCCACTGAAATTTCTTTGCGGCCCAGAAATAGTCAGGAGCCTGTGCAAGGACCCACCGCCTTTACTGACGGTTTGGGGAGGACTGGGAAAGCCGTTGCTACCCGGAAGGACAGATCTGAGTGGCAAGTTTTGGAAGGTCATGAGGATCGTCAGCCCAGTTGGTAGAATTACGGGCTGCTGTCATGGCATTTCAGAAATTTTCTCAGGAACCTTTCAGTTTGGTCATGGATTCCGCCTATGTGGCTGACATAGCCCAGAGGTTGGGTCATTCTGTTTTGAAGGAAATCAGCAATCCTGACTTGTTTTGTTTACTGAAGATAGGCCCGGGTGCATCTGTACTATGTTCTGCATATGAGGAGTCATACCAATTTGCCAGGGTTCATTACAGAAGGTAACGCGAGGGCTGACAAGTTGGCTAACCCCGCATGGGTTGCACCTCAGCCTGATACTCTCGGCCAGGCCAAGGCGTCACATGGATTCTTCCACCAGAATGCACATACTTTGTAGAAGCAGTTTCAGTTGACGTCAGCTGAGGCCCATGACATTGTTGAGTCTTGTGACGACTGTCATGCGCTTGCTGCACCTTTGCCAGCGGGGGTAAACCCCAGAGGCCTTAGGGCCTTGGAGCTTTGGTAGACAGATGTCACCCAAGTTGCTGAGTTTGGTCAGCTCCGTTATGTGCATGTCAGCATGGACACTTTCTCCTTTGCAATGTGCGCTTCCGCTCACACAGGAGAAAAGACCCACGATGTCATTGCCCACTGGAGGCAGGCCTTTGCTGTTTTTGGCATACCTTCTGCTGTGAAGACCAATAATGGTTCTGCTTACGCCTCTCAGAAGGTGCAGCAGTTCCTGTAGTTGTGTGGTGTGTCACACAAGTTTGGTATCCCTCATTCTCCGACAAGTCAAGATATTGTAGAACGTGCTCATGGTACACTGAAACGAGTTTTACAGAAGCAAAAACGGGGAATGCTGGGTGAAACTCTGCACATGAGTTGGAAAAAGGTTTATATACACTAAATCACCTCACAGTTCTGCAGAACTCCAGTATCCCAGTCATGTTGAATCATCAGCTTTCATTGCGAACTTTGGATGAGTCGCATCAGCCTCGAGCAAAGGTTCGAGTGAGGAATTTAGTCACCAAACAGTGGGAAGGTCCCTACGACCTTATCTCTTCAAGGCACGAGTATGCGCGTGTATCCGCAGATACTGGAGTATGGTGGGTACCTGCAAAGTGCATTCGTCCTGACCTGTGACCGCAGATGCAGATGACTGATCACCCCGATGGCCCATCCACAAGCAGAGCCTGACACTGAAAATGTTTTCTTTTTTTTTTTCTTTTGTTTTTTGTTTTGGGTTTTTTTGTTTGGTTTTGGTTTTGGTTTTGTTTTTTTTTTTTTTGTTTTTTGTATTGGCGAAAGCGTGAGATGCCACCCTGAAACTAGAGCCTTCTGATTGTTTAGAATATTGTTCATTTTCTCTGTTCTTTTTCTTTTTTTTCTTTTTTTAAAGAAGAAAGGATGAGATGTCTCCCTGAAAAATAAGCCTTCTGATTTTGATTTTCATAGTTTTAGACACTTTCCCAGGAAAGTAGCTATGAACATAGATGTTTATACATTCCTTCTAAGAAACATCTTTTGATGGACATTTCGCATGACCAGTGTTATTGGGAAGGTGGTAACTTAATTATCCAATCCCTGGTCATTGTTAAGGATCTATAAATACTGGAGTCAGGAAAATAAAAGTTCTCTTTTCTCTATTACCCACTGTTGCTGTTGGACAAGATGTAGAAGTGTGGATTCACGGCACACTTGTTGAGGGTTAGGTGTCCCTTTTTTTTTGTTTTGTCATTCTGGCCTGCCCGTGGAATTTTTACCCATTAGCTGCGGAGACAACCTAACTGTGGGTATTTAGTGGGTGATTGATAAAGGACAATGAGTGGCCGGGCCCAGGCGGGGAAGGGGGCAGGAAAGGAGGGTGGGGACAGTTTTTGGCTGGCTTTCATCGGCTTCGGGGAAAGACATTCGTTTTGCTGGGTCGCGGAGCTGCTGCAGTGGAGAGAAGGGAATTTTGCTGTCACCCAAACGGAGCTGCTGCTTCTTCTCCTTCTCCCCTCTTTGTTGGTGGCCTCGCACCCCCTGCTCTGCCAGGACATGTGGCAATGCCAGGCACCGCCGTGGAGCTGCTGATACACCTCATCCACCGGCCCAGGATCTCAGCTCATCCCTGCTGTTCCAGCCAACTGTTCCTCAGAGCCCTGCAGGAGCACCGGGAATGACTGCCCAAGGGGGTTTGTGAAAACAAAGCCTCTCCTCCATCCTGTCTCAGCCGAGAAGGTCCCAAGGTCCCTGGTTCTGTGTTCTTGTTATTGCTGTAGTTATTGTTTGTGTGCCTGGTTATACTAGTAAAGAACTGTTATTCCTATCCCCAGATCTCTGCCTGAAAGCCCTTTGATTTCAAAATTACAATAATTCGGAGGGAGGAGGTCTACATTCTTTCATCCCAAGGGAGGCTTCTGCTCTCCCTCCAGACACCTATGTTCTAGAACCAAGACAGATTTTGGCACCCGTTCATGGGGCACTGAGAGAAAAGGGCATAAAAGGAATAACAGTTCTTAAATAACATAACTTTTGTGTGCTGGATTTAGAAACCCTGTTAGGTAGAACCATGTTGTTTAGCTTACCCAGGTTCACGGGGCATGTGGTCACAGCTATATTTCTCCCATTTGCTGTACCTTACTTAAATATGGGTCCTATAACTAAGGCTACTGTGGCTATTATCCAGCTTGTTTTGTGGGTTGATAAGGTGAGGAATTCATGGATGTTTAATGTCCTCTGGACAGCGGGCTCATGGATTCAGAGCTGTCACACACTAACTGGATGGTTTTTGGGTTACTTTAAGAATGGTACCTACTGGGAGAAAAAGACAGCTGGAGAAATTTTCTCCCAACCTTTCACCCAGTTCCTTGGGCCTACCCCACCAGTTTTCGAAGGGTTAAAATCTTCTCTGAATGCTAATGACATCATACAGTGGCTGGTGTTGCTGATAGGCCTGTTCTACTTAGCCTTCAGAGACAAAGGGAAAGAGACAGGAGATGCTACTCCAGAACCTGGCACAGCCCCAGAGACAGGGAGTGCTGCTCCAGAGCCTGGCACAACCCCAGAGACAGGGAATGCTGCTCCAGAGCCTGCCCCTGCCCCACAGCCCACCTCAAAAATGAACCACCCAGAGTGGGTGGGGCTTCTGGTGAAGGAGATGCGTGAGATGCTAAAGGAGTGCATTTCCTCAGCTGCTGAGAAACTCTCCCCCTGCCTCAAAGAGGGAGAGTCTGATGGTGCTGCAGTGGAACCCACAGACGTTACAACCGTCCAGGTTCCAGCTGAGCCACAAGGGCAGTCACAGCCAGCAGCTGTTGCCCCTGTGGAAACGAGGAAGTCTAAGATGAAATCACAGCACCCTGTTGATAAGGATAAGAAAGGAGGGCCCTCACAACCCACGGGGGAGCCAGAAGTTGAAATCATCACTGGGTCTCTGACATATGCCTGTCTCCGTAAGTTACAAAAAGACATTGTGAGGCGGGGGCGTGAGGCTTATACAACCTGGTTACTTTGGGTCTGGGACCTTATGGGTACAGGCGTGCAGCTGGATGGTGGTGAGGCAAGGAATGTGGGACCCTTGACCCAGGACTCAGGTGTGAATCAGGTATTCATCAGGGAGCAAGGGCCCCTTTTCCTCTGGGAGTGGCTTTTGATGAGTGTAAGAGAGAGGTTTGTCCACAGAGAGAGAATGGAAGAGCACTATCGTAGAAGGGAATGGAAAACCATTGAGGAAGGGATCCAACAGCTGAGAGAAGTGGCAATATTAGAGGTCATTTTTGGGAGGGGTGGACAGCATGATAATGACCCCGACAAAGTCAGGTGTGCTGGGCAGATGTTGTGGAGTCTGGCAATTCTAGGGCCACGTGAATACACCACCTATATTGCAACAATTAATGCCGATAACAGCCGAGAGACGGTGGGTTCTGTCGCCACCAGGCTTAGACATTTCGACAGTATGGTCCATGGCCCACAGCAGGCTAAGATTTCTGCTGTGATTAAGGAACTCAAAGAGGAGATGAGGGAAATGAAGGAAGAGATGAGGAAGAGCAGTTCCCATATGGCACCAGTGCGGGTCACAAGCCCAAAA